CTGTCGTGTGAGCCGAGTGCTGCCAGTGCCTTCCTCTTGGGCCAGTGCCCACACTTCTTCTTCATGAGCAAGTGTGAGCTTCCAAACACGGGCCACTCTGCAGTCCCAGAAGGCGAGTCACCCAGGAGGCATTATGCCCACAGTGGAGAGCAGTGGGGAGAAACCTGCAAAAGGCAGGCCTTTCTTGGGGCCAGTGGTGAGGCCGGTCCCCTTCTCCCTCTCACTCTCCAGTTCCCCTTTCCACGCCATATCCCTGCCTTCCAAGCTCAGTGCCCACGTGCTCTGTAGCCAACTCTGGTGGGTGAAGTCGCCCCGTGGGAGAGCAAGGTGGACCTGGGGTCCCCCTCCCTGTCCCCTTCCGGGCTGCAGCTCCCAGAGGTCATGGGCAAGGCCCCAACTGTGGGCCACCGTGGGCTCTGGTCTTTGTGAGGATAAAGTTTTCTCATACCTGCAGGTGACCCTCTGGCAGACAAAGGGTCCCACTGGTGCTCCTGGGTGGCGCCAGCTGGCCTCTGGACAGAGCAGTGGGGAGGCAGGCCAGCTCTGTGCGGGGCCACCCCTCGGTCTGTAGCTGGCTGAGGGTTCCCCCTGCCCCTCTGGCCCTGTGTGACCAGGGCTGGGGCCACCACCTTCTGGCACAGTGGCTCTGGCCTGGGCACACTCCCCAGCCGAGCGTGGTGGGAACCCCCTCCTTGAATTTCTGAACCGCTCAGGGACTCCTTGTCCTTTTTGGCCAAAACCTTCCAGATCTCCAGCTCGATGCTGTTGTCACTGTCCACGGAACTGATGTCAGACTGAGAGATGGGGCTGGCGGCTGATTGGTGAAGGTCATGGGCCTCCGCCTCGCTGGAGAACAGATGCCCTTCCCAGGCTCTTTAACCTGATGGGAAGGCCAGGAAGGTGCTCAAGGGCCAGGCCTAGCCCTGCACAGCTTTGTTCTCTCTGTGGGGCTGTACAAGCTGCTGGAAGGTTTCCTCAGTGGGTCCTCCCTGCTGCCCCTTTTGGACTTTGACAGGCGGCTTTTCAACAAGGGCGGGCTTCTGTCCTTCCAGCCTCTCTGGAGGCCACCCACTGACCCAGGGCCCATGTCTTCATGCACCTTCCCGCACACAGCTCTGGGGTCCCAACACCTACAAGGCTTCTTGAGCTTCCACTTGGATCGTAACAAGTCCTTAATGGCGGTGTCCAGATCCTCACCGATGTCCAGTGAGCTACTCCTGTCCTAGGAGCTCTCCTTCTCGTCCACGCTCCTCGCCTCCACAGCCTTCCCGTGGCCCAGTGACATGCTGCCCCCTCGTGTCCAGGGCCACATGCTCATCACGCAGCCCGACAGTCCTGCAGGGGAGAGGCTACCTCCTGGCCTGCCCTCCCTTTCAGGCGCCTCGCTGGCTTTTCCTTGGCCAGGCTGTGCTTTTCTATGGCCGAGGGCAGCATCTGGGGCACCCTCCTTTGCTACCTCTCTTGTTTTCTTGGGTATGGACGGCCACAGGGTGTTGCCGCCTCCTCTGCATTGCCCTTTGCAGCTCAGTGACAGGTCCAGTGTTTTAGAGACAGGGGCCTTGGGGCCACAAGCCTGCCCGTTGGGGCCAGGCATGGCCAGTGGGCTGTGTGAGGACTGTGGGCAGGTGTCCCTCCTGGACTGTGCTTTTAGTGCCCAAAACGTCCGGATCTCCTGCTCTAGGCTGTCGTCACTGTCCACGGAGCTGCTGTCACCTTCTGAGAAGGAAGGCACAATTGGGAACAAGGTAGCGGGCTGGCAGACAGAGGTCTGTCACCACCCTCCCCAGGGGTCGCAGGATCATTTTGGAAATGTCCCAGATCCCTTCAGTGCACATCAGCTCCGCAGACATGTCTGCCCGACACAAGGACCAGTCCACAAACTTGCTCTTGGCTGCTGTTTCCTGGGGCTACAAAGGCTTTGGCTTCTTTCTTTCTTTTTTTTTTTTAATATATATTTTATTGATTTTTTACAGAGGAGAAGGGAGAGGGATAGAGAGTCAGAAACATCGATGAGAGAGATCGATCAGCTGTCTCCTGCACGCCCCCCACTGGGGATGTGCCCGCAACCAAGGTACATGCCCTTGACCGGAATCGAACCTGGGACCCCTCAGTCCGCAGGCCATTGCTCTATCCACTGAGCCAAACAGGTTCGGCAGGCTTTGGCCTCTTTCGGAGGCTTGGAGGATGGTTAGGCTCAAGGCCACCCAGGCCAAGGTCCACAGCCTTCGAGGCCAATGGCTTCCACTTGCCTGGCATTTTCCTGGGGGTTTCGGGCAAGGCAATTTTTGTGGCATGGCTCGTGCTATAGATAGGAAGGCCAGGCTGCTCCTCCTTGGGCAGGGTTTTCTGCTGTGGGTCCTGCTCACCTCCTTCCTCTTCTCCAGCCAGTACAGTTGGATGACCTCCTCCAAGTGGTCGTCACTGCCTGAGCCCCAGGCTCTTGTGGCCTTGTAGATTTCTGTGAGTGAAGAACTTAACAAAGAAAGAAGCTGCAAGCTGTAGTGATGAGTGCAAAGGCCACTGAGCACCTGCCCCCATTTCCCCTACCATCCATATTTGCCATTGGACAGTCCACTTTGGTTTGGCCTGGTTGTTCAATTAACAACCTTTGTCTAAGTACTAGAGTGATACAGATTCTGTCTCTTTATTTAGTAGCACTTGGTGGCCCCCAATGGTAGTTAACTATTGACTATGAAGATAGTAGTCACCCCTTAACTCGGCTGAGTACCCAGCTAACTCATTCTTAAAGCACACCTGGAAGATGGAAGTTTCTAAAAGTTGCTTTACTAATGAAGACAGCAAGGCACCAAGAGGTTAAAAGATGGCATATTTATCAAATTCTAGTATAGTGCTTGTATGGGTCAGGCACTACTCTAAGTGCTTGGCAAATTTTAAACCATATATGCTTCATAACAACCCTATAACATGAATATTGCCATTATGATCCTTTTGAAAATGAGGAAAACCAGGCACAGAGAGGTTAGGCAACTTTACCAAGGTCACACAGCTAAGAATTGAACCTGGATTTGAGACCAGGTGGACCGGTTCTAGAGTCCATGTGCTATGCTGCCTCTCCCAAAGCCTGTTCTTAGGTTTCCAAAGGCTGCTTCTGTTTGGGGACCAGCCACAGAAAATGACTAACGGCAACTTTATGCAGGAGTAATTAGCCATGATCTGCATGATGGGAGAACAAGGGCAGACTTAGAAGGATGTGTGATGTGAAGCAATCATTGATCCAATGAAAGCCAGCCCAGAGTGATAACCCACAGATAGAAGGAAATCTTTGCCTTCGCTCTTGTTGGGGCATGCAGAAGAGGTCAAAGGCAGCACTAATCCTGAAATACAGATCTCGTGGCTCAGCTGACATTCTCTCGGCTTGAGCACACCCATATTTCAAGAGCAAAGAGTTGGGAATCCATTTTCCCACACTTCTACATTGGCAAATAGAAAGAGATGCTCATACCCACCATTATTCTCACACTTTACCATGGATTCAGGAGACCTGTGTTTCCATGAAAACACTATGGCACCTCTTTCAATGAACTTCCCTTGGGGTTCTGTCATGAGTCAGTATATCTTGTCTCCCATGTTTACAAAATACATTGCCAATGTTAAAATCCTTTTTTGATATCTCATTGTTCCTAGGACAAAGATCTAAGTCCTCAATGTGGTCTAAAAGGACCAAGATGATCCACCGCCAACCCTGATTCCATTTCTCAAAAGCGGCTTTGATCTGGGACTGTACTGGGCCTGCCCTCCTCCTGTCCCCCAACCCCACCCCCACCCTGGTTAGTCAGTGCAGCTCAGTGGTCAGATCGGATCTGAAAGGTTTTTCTTCAGCCTTTCCTGACTGCTCCCAGCTTTCCACAACCCTCTTTACATTGGAAATGTATTCATTATATGTGTAATTATATGTGTAATTTATCCATTCAAAACCTGCTGGAGCTCCTGGTGCTGGAGACTCGAGAAGTCCAAGACCCTTCTCTGTCTGCAGTAAAACGTACGGGCAGATCTGGAACACACCTAGCCCCGCGCCTGGAGCCACGGCTGACCTCCATGCGGCGGACATCGTAAAACCCCCACCCCCACCCGGATCCGCGCCTGGACATTTAGATAAAGACCTGAGCTTAGGATTCCTGCCACCAGTTCCTGCTATCATTTTCCCCGAGCACCTTTTAAAACGTGGAGCCCAAATCTGAACCCAGTACCTAGGTGCAATACCGCTGGCACACAATTAGCACTTTGACCTGGGAACTCCTCTGAAGAGACCCTAGAGTTGTTTTTGTGTTTCTTGTGCTGTCACCATCAGCCGCGTCATGCTGTTAGCTCACGTTGAGTGTGTGAATCAATAACTAGAGCCAAAAGGCTTTCCCCATTGACTTCTCAGTATTACATGGGAAATCGATTTTTGGGTCCTAGTCAAGTAGACAGGGCAGCATTTTACAACTGTTAAAGCACGGTCTCTTTAAAAACCGGTTAGCGCCAGAACCATTTATAGAAACCAGATGACCTGACTTTTGGCCCGACCATGTTGCTAATTTTTATCATCACGTGTATTGAACGAAGGCGGCACCGGCAGGACTGGACGCACGATAGGACTGGCTTGCACGATTTCCAATCGTATGGGGCTAATTTGTGGTTTTAAATCCAAGAAGGCGCTTTTCCCGCGTGTCCGGGAGGCGGGGCCCCACTTCCCAACGCAGGCGCCCTCGGGTCACGGTTCCGCGCCCGCCCGCCAAGGGGTGACCCCATAGCCCTCAGCCACGCCCCCTTCTGGCTCAGACACCCAATGGACGACTGCAGCCCTCTCCTGTGGGCGGGGAATTCCCTGAGCTCTGTCCTGGTTGGTCCACGGGCCCGGCGAGGAGTATGACGTATCACCGCCTCCATTACTTCGCGCAGCGGTTAAGGCGTGGCTTCCGCTCCGGGCGCTTGAAGGAGACTCGGAGACACCTGGGTCGCTCTGCTTGCGTCGCTGGCCCTGTCACTACCCTCAGTCCATGAGGAAGATGCTCGCCGCCGTCTCCCGCGTGCTGTCGGGCGCTGCCCAGAAGCCGGTGAGTTGGCGTGAGCCGCCGGGTATATTGCGCGAGCGGGGCGGAGGCTGGAGGACCCGGAGAGCGGGCCGGGCCTCGGCGCGCGGTGCGGCTGTAACTATGGCTCAGCGGAGTGCTTCCGGAGCCGCGAGCCTTTGTTTTGGCTCCAGGCGATGCGTTCCTGTCCTGGCCTGGGGAGGAGCGGCTGTTGGATCGCCGGCGCCGACCGGGTGGGGGTGGGGGCTTTACGATGGCCGCATGGAGGTCAGCCGCGGCTCCGGGCGCGGGGCTAGGTGTGCCCCAGATCTGCCCGTGCGTTTTATTGCAGACAGAGAAGGGAAGGGGGTCTTGGACTTCTCGAGTCTCCAGTTGACCACCCTTCCCGGTCCACTCATTTAAAAAAATGTTTTTAATTGTTGGTAGTATTACATCTGTCCCCCTCCCCAGCCTCCCCTCCCACTTACCGGCCCCGCTGTAATAGTCTTCCTAATTACATTCCTCTTGACCCAGAGGCCGTGTAGAATGTTAAGAGCATGGAATCCGGAGACTGAGTGGCTCCTTCGACACCATCCTCACCATTTACTAGCCCTGCGACCTTGGGCAAGGTGTTTTTATTTTTAATCCTCTCCGAGGATATGTGTCTATTTATTTTACAGGAAGAGGAAGGGAGAGAAACATTTATGTGAGAGAGTTGAACCAGCTGCCTCCTGCACGCTCCCTACTGGGGACCGAACCCGAAACCTGGGCATGTGCCCTGACTTGGAATGAAACCGGGAACTCTTGGCTCATGGGTCGACACTCAACCACTGAACCACACCGGCTGGGCTGAATTGAGTTTTGAGTTGCAGTAATCTGTTATCTGGATAGAACAAGAGTGGAATGTAGCTTCATTCCCTCAGAAATTCTTGTTGAGAGAAGACTATTGTAGTGGTAATGGATTCCCCACGTATAACATTACTTTTTCTTTCATTTAATTTTTTTAATGAGGATAAGAGAGTGAAAGAGTTAATGCTCCTGCTCCTTACTTTGAGCCACCCCCCTTTTTGGCTATTTCCTGTTGCCTGCATATGTGGCACAGAGGAAAATATTGTTAAACAACTAGGTATTAACCCTAGATTGTGTGTCTGTGGCCTGAAACCCCTGTTTAATAGTTCCCCCTTTTTGCAGCAGAGCAAATCCACTAACCAATGTTTCTATAAGCTGTAATAATTGATGTGTTCCCAGAGTGCTCAGTGCACTTTGGGCTCTTGGTTCTAGTGTGCTCATTCATCATCAGGTTTCAGTTGTGTTAACACTGGCTGCTTAGAGGGTTCAGTGTGTTGGTTTTAGAATCATCATAGACCTATACTTCGTTTTTAAACTTAAGTACCTGTCATTTCATATTTGAATGAGGTTGAGAGTTATCAAAGTTTTTATTTCACAGAAGATTAAGTTTCATTTAAAATTTTTATTGTCTTATTGTTTGTAGTATTTATGACTCCTTTTGTGAGACTTTTTTTGGTGTGAGATCTTTACTACCAGTATTTTTTTTATTGACTTTTTAAATAGTAGGTAAAATGTTTCACTTATACTGGTAGAGTCTGGAATTTTAAAAATATTTTCTCTCTCACTTGAATGGTTGCTCCTCAGGGGAGACCTGCAGCCAAGCTATACCTCCCAATTCTTTTTTGTAAATTTTTATTTATTGATGAGAGAGGAGAGAGAAACATTGATGTGACATTAATCAGCTGTCCCCCTCCTCCCCCAGGATGGAGCCCACGATCTGGGCATATGCCCTGACCAGGAATTGAGCCCATGACCTTCTGGTGCATGGGATGACCCTCAACCAACTGAGCCACACCAACCCTCCCAATTCTTGATCACTGCACTATGGGTGTGAGACCTGCCTGTTCTGTGTCTATACCCCTCCTACCAGTCTTGATGTGGCTTCTTTATATTCTTGACTGGGGGCCCGGTAGCCGGCAGTTGGACATCTCCCCCAGGGGTCCTTAGCGCTGCCACCGCCACCGCCGCTGTGCTCACCAGCCTTGAGCCTCACCAGCCTTGAGCCCGGCTTCTGGCTGAGTGGTGCTCCCCCTATGGGAGTGCGCTGACCACCAGGGGGAAGCTCCTATGTTGAGCTTCTGACCCCTGGTGGTCAGTCCACATCATAGCGACTGGACTGGTTCTTCCACTGTTGGGTCTATTTGCATATTAGCTTTTTATTATATAGGATTATGGGGCTTCTGATAACCTAGTCTTCAGGTGGTTCTCAGTGTTCTATAATTTAATTGTAATTTTGCTATGATTGTGGGAGGAGGTGAGCATAGCATTTACCTACTCCCCTATCTTTACTGGAAATCCCAAATATTATTTTTAACTGCTAAAATTAACACATCTGTTTTGTGATTGCCAAATATAACCTTTTGTCTGTCACCTTACCCCTCTCAGCTCCATTTCTTCCCACATTTCTCAATTTTCTTCATTTATTCTTAGGTATTTTAATGGACTTTCTCTACTTCTAACTGAACTGAAGCATTTGTTTCTAGTATTTAAGCTTTTTTCTCTCCAGCAACATCATTGCCTTTACTTGTTGGTTTTATTAGATAATGGTATGTTGATAGGTAAAGAAATAAGAATAGTTTTCTGCCTGTAGACTTGTACACTTGGAGGTACATTTATCAGTTAATCTTAACCCCTCACCAAGATGAAGTCCAGTATTAGAAGTTGGATGACTATGAACATATCAAAAGTACTTTAAAATTTTTTTTTTTTATTTCAGAGAGGAAGAAAGAGAGAGATAGAAACATCAATGATGAGAGAGAATCATTGATTGGCTGCCTCCTGCACATCCCCTCCCCCACTGGGTATGGAGCCCACAACCCAGGCATGTGCCCTTGACCAAGATGGAACCTGAGACCCTTCAGTCTGCAGGCCGACGCTCCATACACTGAGCCAAACCGGCTAGGGCAGCCGTGGGCAAACTATGGCCCGTTTGAAATGAATAAAATTAAAAAAAAAAAAAAGACCGTACCCTTTTATATAATGATGTTTACTTTGAATTTATATTAGTTCACACAAACACTCCATCCATGCTTTTGTTCCGGCCCTCCGGTCCAGTTTAAGAACCCATTGTGGCCCTCGAGTCAAAAAGTTTGCCCACCCCTGGGCTAGGGCCAAAAGTACTTTTTGTGGCATCTGAAGATTGTGCTTCAAGTCTCTATGAAAAGAAGTCATGTTGGTTTACACATCAGTGTGTGAAAATGTGGCAGAGTGTGGCTAAAATAGTCCGATAATGCTAATTAGTTCAATGTTTATGGTCTAACCTGTACCTAAGCCATCACATAGAATATTTTTGGTGCAAGTAGGTATATTCAATTATAAGAATGAAAAGCTTTTTACCCAACCAAGCGGTGACAGCCACTCAAACATCAAGAAGGGAACACTGTTGTAGAGAACATCTCTCCCTTGTGGGGCTTCAGGAGGAACCTACCCAAGATATAATCTGTTTACATTATAAAACAACCCTCAAGTCCATTATTTTTAAGTCAGGGAGTGCTAAGTACCATTTCTTTTGTCTTATACATTTCTCACTAATATATTTCTCATACTTTGAGTACTCTGAAATATTTTTCTTATAGATCCATTTCATAGAAAAGTGGTTTGCCTGAAATAGAGATTGAATCATAGTTTTATTTGAAAAATGATTCTTAAAGTGAAGCTTAAGCTTGCTCAGTATATCTGGTTATGACTAAAGTAGCATAAACAAAGCGCACAGATTATCTAGTCTTTTCAACTTGGCCTTTGACTTCATTATATCCTCATTGTAATTTCTTTGAAAACAAAGTGATTAAGTGGATTGGTTTAGTTTTTGCCCCCATTTTCTTTCTGCTGTTTGTCTTCAGATAGGGGTACAATCCTGTTTCATTGGCCAAAGTATGGATTCATTTGGAAGACAAGATCTCAGTGCAGTGCAGAGAAGGGAGATAAGCCAGTGAATATATTGGGGCTTATTCAAGTCCCAGGACTGCATCCTGCAAACGGATTAATAATAGTAATGACTTTAAAAATAACTGAGAATAAAAATACTGATATATTTGTATATTTTGGTCTTTCAAGGCAAGCAGAGTGCTGGTGGCATCCCGTAATTTTGCAAATGATGCTACATTTGAAATTAAGGTAAGAGGTGTTTTCCTTGTGTTAACTTTTCTGCAGGTCCCCTTTGATATACAGTTTTACCCTGGGAACAGAGCATTTGATATTTTTGCTTTTTTACCATTTTCTTTCAAGTGTTTTAGAATCAAAGGTTCAGAGACATTTAGCAAAAATTTACACTTCTTACTTAGCAGCTTGCTGTGTTTGGGGTAGAAAGAAGGGCAAGCTAAAAAAAATTAAAGACTCCAAAGTTTAGAATGTGATTTGGTAAAACTTGTGAGTGAGAAGATTCTTTGAATACTTCTTTGAAAGTTTGTCTTTCAACCTATAACTCATTTGACTTCAAGGGGTTTACAGTGAAAGTCATCTTAGAAAGATTTCCTTCCTCCAGTACCCCATCCCATTACATAGTGAACTTTATGATATAAGGGGTCAGCAGCAATATGCAGCATTTTTGATATGTCCCTGCGGGTTTTTGAGATAAATATTATTTGTGATGGAGTTAGATCTTAGAATGGGGCTGGCAGTGTTTACATTGTAGTAACTGGAAGACAACTGATTCCATTTCAGAAGTGTGACCTTCACCGGCTGGAAGAGGGCCCTCCTGTCACCACAGTGCTCACCAGGGAGGATGGGCTCAGATACTACAGGATGATGCAGACTGTCCGCCGAATGGAGTTAAAGGCAGATCAGCTGTATAAACAGAAAATTATTCGTGGTTTCTGTCACTTGTGTGATGGTCAGGTGAGTGATAGTTTTGTAATAAAGTTGTGTTATTTAGGAATTTAAGTGTGGCTTCTACTTGGTGGCTATTACTCTGCCTTACACATTGGAAGGATTCCAGGCTGGTATTGTATAATAAAAGTGAAAATGCTGAGTGAGACCTGCTATGCAGCTTATGCTAAAGAATCTATTCATGCATTACATGGCTGATTTCCTATGCCTTTATGGTATTGTGATCACCTGCATTGGATATACTTTTGGGGTAAAGGGTTTTACCAAGGACTACAAATTTAAATGCCTACAGGGACCAGCTAGGTAGAATAAATGAGTGAAGAAAGCTAGCTATACAAGACAGTGTGACAAGGACTGGTGGTGAACTGGAATAGACAAGTTCCCTGCAGGTCCCACTTGCAGGGGATGTCATGACTTGGTTCCAGCCAGTTAGTGCCATATGGAAATACGGGGCTAATGCTTCCTATTCATTTCTTCAACACACGACAGAAGACTCGATTTTCTTGTGAGATTCCTTCTATTTTAATGTTGACAGCTGATTCGGGATTTCTTTTTAAATCACCTTACAGCCCAAAGAAAACATACATCTGTGGATTGGCAGTTTATGGCTTCTGCTTGGGCCTTACCCTCCACTCTGTTTCTGATGATAAAGCTACTTTCTGTGGTTATTAATGAAGAGTTCAGCTAGGTTATTATTTCATATTAGTCTAGGAAACCTTTTATCTAGAACTGTGTATTGTATTGATTAATTGATGCTTCTTCCTTTAATGCAGGAAGCTTGTTGTGTGGGCATGGAAGCTGGCATAAATCCCACAGACCATCTGATCACAGCCTATCGGGCTCATGGCTTTACCTTTACTCGTGGGCTTTCTGTACGAGAAATTCTCGCAGAGCTTACAGGTTTGCTATTAATTTAAAAAAAAGGGGAAATTAATGAATTCAGTTTTTAAATCTCTCCTATTAAGATGCTAACTCCCACCCTAGTCTATTTGGTTCAGTGGATAGAGCGTCAGCCTGCAGACTGAGGGGTCCCGGATTCGATTCTGGTCAAGGGCACATGTCTGGGTTGTGGGTTTGATCCCCAATAGGGGTGTGCAGGAGGCAGCCAATCAATGATTCTCTCTCATCATTAATGTTTCCATTTGTTTCTCCCTCTCCCTTCCTCTCTGAAATCAATTAAAAAATGTTAAAAAAAGATGCTAACTCCTTATGAGTTAATATTAAAATGTTGAATTAAAAAAATATAAACATTTTCTCCCTTTTGAGTAAACTGACCATTTTTGAGGTCATCTGAGCCTTCAGGTTAAAGTTTAAAAAGATGAGCTCTATGAAATCAGAATTGTGTTTATTATCACTGTGACATGCCAGCAGAAATCTAGCAGTCATTGAGTAGAAGCATTTCATGGTAAACAGTGTAAATTCTAGGAATCTCCTTAGTATTTCCTTTTGTCTTTGTCCCCCTTGGCTCTTGAACTATTTAGTGTGCCAGTGTAGGAGAAATCAAATGTTTGTAACTGCCAAAGAAAAACAACAAACCAGTCCTAACATCTGAGGGGAACTCGTTGATGATAGAGCTGGAAGGTTAGGACCTGGGGCTAGTCTGACCTTTATTATAAAAGGACCTGGAGAAAAGGAGGAATATATGTTTGCACAGAGGGGCAGGTGCTTATACAACTTAATTGGCCTCTAGAGTTCTAATGGATGGGCCTCTTAAGTAAATGTTTGGGTGTGGTTTTGTTTGCATATTTGGTCTTTGATGCATATGTGTGTGTGCTGCCATTTCTAGGACGAAGAGGAGGCTGTGCTAAAGGAAAAGGAGGATCAATGCATATGTATGCCAAGAATTTCTACGGGGGCAATGGCATCGTTGGAGCTCAGGTAGTGGAGGATGGGGGATTGCATGCTTTCCTAGATTTGGCCCTCACCTCTGTCTTTACAATAGTTCATGCCCCAGCGAACTTCCCTCTGTTGTATTTTAGTACTCTTGGAGCTTAGAGTGCTTAACAGACGTATTGCTTTGTACCCTACCATTTGATCATTTAATAAATAGATTTGGACAATGACTTATAAGTAAGCAAGAGCCTCTAGCAGTGGAGCTATACCTTTATTTTTTTATTTATATTTCAGCACATTAATTGCTTTGTCACATCCACTTGGCCCTACTTCTTCCTGCTATAGACAGTGCTGATGCTGGTGCCAGACCAGGAGAGGCAGATGATCAGTATTTCAGGGCTTACTTAGAGTCCCTATGCCAACTTCAGTTGTTTTTATCAATTAGTGAATAATGAAGAAGTAACAGCATAAAATCATATCTAGATTGTTTGGTTTACTTTCTAATATATTGAGATTTCTACAATATTTTTCTTATGCCTAGGTTTCTTTTTTTGGCTCATAATTAATTGAATCTTTGAGTTCAGAAATGTTATTGCTTAATAGTTGAGAGTATAATAATTACTCATCTTACTCTCTTGGTTTATTTCTAATATTGGGGGCGGGGTAAGCATAGATAGGGTTGGGGTAGGGAGAGTTTGTAGTGACAGTATCATTTCTATCTCGATTTCTGGCAAAGAGTTAAAATTCAGAGCATTAATTTCTCCCCTCATGGATTTCTGTGCTTCCTTTCTTGGTTGTCATTAATACTAGGTGCCCCTGGGAGCTGGGATTGCTCTGGCCTGCAAGTATAATGGAAAAGATGAGGTCTGTTTGACTTTGTATGGCGATGGTGCTGCTAACCAGGTGAGTATGTGCCTCTTTCAAAGTTTTGTCTATTCATAGGTCAGTTTGTAGAGAAGATATTATTTACTAGTTAAAATAGACAAGCTAAATTTGGGTTTTATGGCCAGATTAGAGATTCACCTCTTGGCATATTTCATAAGTGCTTTATAGGAATGTGCTCCTGTGAGGGAGCTCTTCTTTGCTGTACCTCAGTGATTCACAAACTTTGTGGACCTTTTTGTATTTGAACCCATTGCAAACCAATTCTTAACCCAGTACTGTAATGTACTGATTCAGTTTCTGGGAGGCCTTGGCATTTTCAAACTCCTCTCATAGTTTCTGAGCCTTGACTCTGTGTGCTTCTCCGATCATGGTCCGAGGTGTCACTAGCCTGTGGATGGCACTCTGTGAGGCCCTGCTCTGGATGCTGATTCTTAGATACTGGTTTACTCTGGTTATCCATTGAGTCTCTTAGAACTTATAGTAAAGCATAAAACTAGGTAGCCACACATTTTTATGCGTTCCTCTTTTCCCTGGTCTATCTACTGTCTTGGCCCCACAGAAACAAGTGGTGTTTGCTTTTTCACATCCCTTAATTGGAAAAAGATGATGCTTGCTGCATCTCTATCCCACCCCCCTAGACACACACACACACACTCACTCCTTTCCTCAGAAGCTTCATTGTAGATGCGGCTTTTTATACTTTATGAAAGCTTTCTCTGCTAGGTAGAATAGCAACTGTTAGGATGAAATCTGAGAAAAATAGCAAAGTGAACTCACTTGAACTTCTTATGTATACTTACAGGGTCAGATATTTGAAGCTTACAATATGGCAGCTTTGTGGAAATTACCTTGTATTTTCATCTGTGAAAATAACCGCTATGGGATGGGAACGTCTGTTGAGAGAGCAGCAGCCAGCACTGATTACTACAAGAGAGGCGACTTCATTCCTGGGCTGAGGGTAAGGACACCTTCATGGCTTGATGCCTCTGTGTGTGTACTTGACAATTTCAGACAAATTGAAGAGTTGTATTTTCGTGTTTTTTTTTTTTTAAATCCTCACCTGAGGATATTTTTCCCATTGATTTTTTTAGAGAGAGTGGAAGGGACAGAGGAGGGGGAAAGAAACAGCAATGGGAGAGAGACACATCGATTGGTTGCCTCCAGCATGTACCTGACAGGCAGGAGGTCAAACCTGCAACCCTTAAGATCTGTGCGCTGGTGCTCTAACCACTGAGCAAACTACCCAGGGCAAGAGTTCTATTTTCTTAATGCAGGAACAGCTCACGTAGAGTTAAAATGCTATTAGGCAGTTTGATTTATACTCTGCCCCTTTGCCATGTATTAACAGGTAGATGGAATGGATGTCCTATGTGTCCGGGAGGCAACAAAGTTTGCAGCTGCCCATTGTAGGGCTGGAAAGGTAAGACTTTATCTGAGGCCTCTGGGCTAGAGATTGCTAGTGATGTTTATCTGTCTTAAAGTTAAAAGATTGCTGCCTCCCCCATGTCTGTCATAGGTATGCAGGGGTAGCTACTGACTGAGGTGCATAAGATAGAAGTAGAGTCCAGTCAAGTGAATCAGATCCCTTTATAAATAGTGTTGTCTTGGTAGCTTACCTCCTTGGGAAACATTCCACATTGCTCCCATTTGGGGTAAATCTTCCAGGGCTTCCTCAGCGTTTTGTCTCTATCTTCATCGTGATACTTTATCTAGTTTGCCTTTTGGTTTGGTTAATTATGTGCCTCCAACCCCCCCATTAACTATAAGCTGGAGTGAACAGATTGGGGACCCCTGCAATGCTCAGCAGAGAACTTTGCTTAAATAATAGGCATTCAGTATAAGTTTGTCTTTTATAAATTAAATATTATAGTTGACGTATATAATCTTGGTCTTGCTGTTTCAGTCCTAAGAATCTTGACTTTTCAGTTATGCAATGGAGAGGACAGTGAGGTTGGCCTGACGAGGAATATGTACCATCAGAGCTAGCGGAAAGATGTTTTCCCTACATCAATGTTCCACAGCCCAGAAAGCATGCCCAGAGGTTCACCTTTCAGTGACTTCTGTATGTGTGTCTGGGCAGTAATGTAAATTAAGATTTGGCTAGCAGTGATGAAAATGAAAGAAGGGGGGTAAAGCAGCCGGGAAATGCAGAGCAGTTAAAGAAGAGACAACAAGAATAAAATAGAGCATGGTGAAGATGGCAGGTTGGTGCCAGCAGGCTCAGCAGTCTACATCAGGACTGCAAGGCTAGGGGTCCAGGCCCTGGAAGCTGGGTACCGTGCCCCTCCCAGTTTCTGAAAGAAGATATGGGGTCTAACCCCACATGGAAACAGGATCAGTGGTTTGTAGCATGTGTTGACTTTCCCAGCCTGACCAAAGCTTTATCTTGGATTTGGGGAGGGTCTGGAAAGCCCCTTATCACCGCCCCCTTTACCAAACCCACTCTACTTCCAAATGGCTGCTGGATGACATAACAGAAAGAAGAGGTGACAGTTATTGAGGGCTTGACATTATGTCAGGTAATGCACTATTTTTTAAGTGTTTAATTGGCACAACTCTGAGTTAGGTTATTACTGTTTTGCAGATGAGGAAACAGAATACTTAAGAGTACATAGCTAGTATCTATTACACTAGGCTTGGAACCCAAGCACTTGGACTCAGAATCTCCCTTTTTAACTATTACACCAAACTGCCCAGGGATCCTAGATTCACTTCCCTCCCGAAAGGGTTGTTCTTGTAGGGAGCTAGTGTTTTATGAGCAGGCTACCTGGTTGTAGCCAGGCTGGCCAAACTCCCAGCAGAGAGACAGATGGGGTCAAGTATCAGGGTACCTGCCAGCTTCTTGTTACACACTGGCCAGATCTGAATGCAGCAGAATTGGTTTCTCGCCCCTACGGAACAATGCCTGAAATGGATGTGAGGTGGAAATTCACCTCCCCAGCCTATCTTTAGTTCTCCTATCCTTTTGTGCTTTCCAGTAGACATGGAGATTTGCCTTAATCTTATTTTGTTAGTTTTAGTATTTTTCTCTAGTGCTTTAAAAGGATCAGTATGCTTATAGATGTCACCTGTGATTGGAGGAGAAAGACTAGCTTAGTGACTCTGAAGATAAATGCCATCCCCCTTTCTGCTGTCATACCTGCTTCCTAATAGGTTTTTCTTCCTTAAATTTAAGCTGTTTTTATAGGATTCTGTGACAAATGCAACACTGTAGGAACAAACATTCTTTAACATCAGTAGGCTCTGTAATATGCGAAGTGCCTTTTTTATTCCCAACAAATTGGGGCAGGCTCCTGTTTAAAATGAGAATGAAGAAACATGCACTCAATCTGTATTAGAAATGAGAACAGATAAGCAGCAGTCAACTAATAAGAAATTCCTGACAACTCACCTGATTTATGGATCTGTTGAGAATATGTTTGATCCTGCAAGTGTGTGCATTTGAGGCCATTGATTGTTGGTGTGCTGTGCCTGTGGTCTTGCCTAATCTCCCTTGGATTCTGTTTTAGGGGCCTATACTAATGGAGCTGCAGACTTACCGTTACCATGGACACAGCATGAGTGATCCTGGAGTCAGGTATGGTCATGGGAAATATGAGCATGGTGTCTAAAGTGGGATGTGCTGTGAATGGTGCTATTCACATGAAAAAGCAAAGCATTTCAACATTTGGTTTTGAAGTCAGACACTAGTTGGCTTCAAGTAAACTTGAGTCCTGGCTGGAAAGCAGTGCCTCCCAATAAAGTGTTTCCAATATAGAAAGTATTCTGAAAAATCCCTACTATATAATATCTACTTGTTAGCATCAGCAGCAATAAAATAAAATTGCCGAGAGAAATTTTTCCATAAAGCAGGTCTGATGGTGTAGTAAATTGGGGGGCATTACCCCAGATTCTTTTTCGTGGCATTATTTTTTCTAAAGTGAGAATTTGAAAATGTTCTAGCTGGTATGGAGTGAGGCCAGCTGGCACATGGGGCATTCAGTATGTTGAAATAGATGAGTCACAAAGAGATAGGGTACACTAGAAGGTAGGAGTTTTATGTGTCAATTAGTAATTCTGGCATATAATGCTGTGGTCCCAGAGAGTGACACAGTAGTAGCAGATTTAGTCAAAGTAAGCCATAGCAAGCCTTTGAGTGTAGAGTGGAGGAATTCTAAGGGAAAATATAAAGAGCAACTTATATGGACAAATGCACTTTATGTAATTCTTTTTTCAAAAAATGGTAGTCCTTTTAGTGTTATTTCAAGTAATGCATGGGACAAGGATGTATTACAGGGATTCAAGAATTGGAAAACCTGTTACGCAAGTTTTTGCTGGCCACACTTCTCTAGGGTCTTAAGGGAGAAGAGAAAGGCACATTTATTTCCTGCTTGACATTCTACTGCTTCAAAGTCCGGGATTATCACTACCAAGAACCATCGCCACTGTCCCCACCTATGTGAAATTTAGAGCTCAAGGGAGTGAGACAGTTGACACAGAAAGAGTCTCCGCTTTCCTCAGACCCTACCTCTAGATCAAAGATGCAAAGAAAGACTTGGTCTCTGTGGTCACAATGCTGGGGAAGCCAGGTGAATTAATTGCCAGTATAGAGTTTTCTATAGAAGATATAACCAGCTCTTACAAAATGGCAGGCTCAGTTCTTATGCTTTGAAAATATAATTCTGTCATTCCATCAGCGACATAGGTATTGATGAGCTCCATCTCAGCAACATACTTCCATATATCACAGAACTCTTTGCTATACTGGAACTGTTCTTACCTAATTCTGTTTCCCTCCCTGTAGTTATCGTACACGAGAGGAAATTCAGGAAGTAAGAAGTAAGAGTGACCCTATCATGCTTCTCAAGGATAGAATGGTGAACAGCAATCTTGCCAGTGTTGAAGAATTAAAGGTATTGTTACTTTTGGTGGTTTAAAAGTGAGCTTTCCTTTCTGAGCAATCGATATTTCTCCACACAAAAATAGCTGCCACTCCTCAGTGAACTACCTTATGGGAAAATATCTATTATCACAGAACATTAGTCATATTGGCCAAAGCCTGTTAAAACCTCCCAACAGCACAATTAGTTTTTCCTAGAAATATAGTTTGGTGATTTTTATTTCTTTTAATTCGTGTTTCTACACTAGGATGTGTGTGTGTGATTACTTTTAAAACATTTTTATTGATTTCAGAGAGAGGAAGGGAGAAGAAATAAAAACATCACTGATGAGAATCATCAATAGGCTATCGCCTGCACGCCCCCTACTTGGGATCGAGCCTGCAACCTGGGCATGTGCCCTGACTGGGAATTCAAACCCTGACCTATTTCATAGGTTGATGCTCAATCACTGAGCCTCACTGGCTGAGTGAGGCTTTAAAAGTTGAAGGCTTTAAAGTATAAGTACTTTAAATGTTGATGTCTGTACTACAAAATATTCCTGGGTATATCATTGTGTCACTTAGTTAAATAACATCTTTATAGCAGCTATTTATTAGTAGTAGAAGAATTGTGGTTATACTAGCGACAGGATCAGAGTACAACGACTTGGTACTTAAACTGTGTTTATTTAAAAATCTCGAACTGTAATCTGATTTTAGGAAATTGATGTTGAAGTGAGGAAAGAAATTGAGGATGCTGCCCAGTTTGCTACAGCTGATCCTGAACCACCTTTGGAAGAACTAGGCTATCACATCTACTCCAACGAGCCACCTTTTGAAGTTCGGGGTGCAAATCAGTGGATCAAGTTTAAGTCCATCAGTTAATGGGAGACTGCATGTAATGGATGGTTACATCTTCAGTGGGCTACTTGACAGCAACTATAAGGAAATCTTCTTGTTCTCACCCATAGAATGTATGTAGATTAAGGTAGGAATTGCATGCAGTTTATACAGTATTGCATTAAAGGTTATGTTCGATTTGTATAGGTCTAATAGGTAACAGACTTTGCTTAACCTTCCTTCAGGTTATTTCCTTAAAGTAGTTCTATTTGATCTAGTTTGTACACTATTTTAACAAGTACTTTTTAGTTAGTGAAAGGAAAAACAGTTCTTTGTATGCCTGTTTAATTCTGCCACCTTATTGTTGGGGGGTAGGGGCTCATTCCCCCGTCTGGCCCAACCCCACAGCTAACAACAGCGTACTTTAATGCACACACATGCCTATAGGGCAACATTCACTATAACCAGGCAGTGGGTAGAAGAACAGTTCCATTTTTAAATAGGACTATTGCACAATCATTTCAAAGGTCAAATAACTTAAAGTGCAATTAACCAGTTACTATTAACTTAGATAGAACCTAAAATAGTGATTCCCAGGCTTTTTGTTAAACACCCATTGTTTTATCTTTGCAGCAAGTGCTATATAGGATGTGCTGATTTTTTTCATTGAAGTAACTTAAAATTTATTTTTAAGAATTCCATAATACTCTGGACGTCAAAACTGTGGCTCACAATCACTGTTCTCACAATACATACCGTTTTACTCACCTTTAAAATGTTGATAAACAGAGGCATAAAACATGAAAGCCAGTGAAAACATTTTATTAACTCTTTAGAACTTCAAGTTTTTAAATTGTTTATGGTGTTTTATGTTTGTCTGTATGAGAAACTTTAACAACAAAGATGTCAGCTCCTTGCTCCCTCTCTGTCCTCTAACTCATTAGAACTTCAACTTTTTAAATTCTTCATGGTGTCTTATGTGTCTATGAGAAACTTTAACAACAAAGATGTCAGCTCCTTGCTCCCTCTCTGTCCTCTAACTCATTAGAACTTCAACTTTTTAAATTCTTCATGGTGACTTATGTGTCTATGAGAAACTTTAACAACAAAGATGTCAGCTCCTTGCTCCCTCTCTGTCCTCTAACTCATTAGAACTTCAACTTTTTAAATTCTTCATGGTGACTTATGTGTCTATGAGAAACTTTAACAACAAAGATATCAGCTCCTTGCTCCCTCTCTGTTCTTTAACTCTTTAAGACTTCAATTTTTTAAATTATTCATGGTGTTTTATGTGTATCTGTATGAGAAATTTAACAACAAAGATGTGGGCTCATTGCTCCCTCTGTCCCCTGGCTTTGCTGACTGATTAACCCTCATCTTGGGTCGCCGGGCCCCCCTGAGTCTGTCTTCTGTACTGGGAGACTTCACTCCAGAGCCTGCAGAGGAGCCCACCACTACGAAACAAAAAGAAGAGTCTTCTTTAGAGTCAAAAGAAAACTTCAAAGCAACACCACAGAATACTTCTTTAGGAGCCCTTACAGCAAAAACTATAGTATATAATTCTAGGCTTGTCTAGATTTCTTCTCTTGTTGTAAAAACTTAGTTAAAATAGAAATATGTTCTTTTTGCACATGGAGGTGACATTTGTGCCCCAGCAGGAGTGGGACATTGTCTTAGAGGTACATGCAGGCATGCTGATGTGAACAGAACAGCCCATTTAAGATGACATGGGAACCAGAATGTAGGCTGCAATTTAAAGATATGTTTTGGTGTAGCATGGAATGGGGAGAGCGCTTATTTCGCCTTCCTGCTTTTCCTACATAGCCTTTGGCTTCTGCCATCTCTTGGCTTTACTCCCAACTTGAACCTGGGAAAACTACAGAGTTTAGAGTTTTCTAAGCCATAGAAAAAGGAATTAAGTTCAATGAAGGGGAAAAGGTAGCAGCACTTCGTTTTCTACTATATTTAAAAGCATAATCATATGAAAAAAGTCGTTTTCTGTTGTACAAAGTGTTCTGAGGCTGTTCTTACCGTAGACCAAGGTATCTGAGGTCTTCCTTAGTGATGTCATTAAGAATATCAGAAAGTTTGTAACCTTCTTTAACAATCTGAAATACAGATCAAATACATAGGAAGTAAGCACCTTTGTGATAATAGCATAGGATTGTTTTTTGGGGTATAAATTTACCTTTTCAATAGAATTTGCATCTGCTCCTTGCATTTGCAACCAGTCTACAAGCTCTTGATATGTTCTCTGCTCATAAGACGATGCTGGGTTCTCTGTAGTAATTAGAAGTTTGTTTTATTGTATATTGATGTGTAACAATAAAACTTGAACAGTGACAAGGAAATAAACTATTCCAGAATGTAAATGTGATGTGAAAAGGAAATGGATCGAGCCTGTCTCAGCTGCTCTAATACACAGTGTACAATAGTCCAGAGTCAAATAATCCTTACCTGTGACCTTTAGCTAGTTTGGAACTTGGTTATGTATCACTTTAAATACTTATTCCCATCTCTAAAATGCCTTTTCTCAGGAGTCACATCCCTAACTGCACTGGAAATCAAAGGAGGAAGTATGTTTTAGTGGGATTTTTGTCTCAGGCCTCATCCATTCACATTCCAAGAGGTAGCTGTAGCCCTTTTGTAAGCAGCACAGAATGAACAAAGCAGGTTTACTGAGGTGTAACTTATACAGTAAACCACCCACTTTTTTTGCAGCAAAGTCATGTGACCATTACAATCAAGATACAGAAATGTCTATCACCCCAAGATATGTAGCAAGGAGCCACATCTTTTGTAATCAATCCCCCCCTGCCCATTCTGATTTGTTTTCTGTCCCTACAGTTTTGCCTTTAACAGAATGTTGTGTAAATAGTCTATATTTATGGAGTCATAGTATATAGCCTTTTGACTCTGGCTTCTTTCACTTAGCATAACACTTTTGCGAGTCATTCTGTTTTTAATGTACCAGTAGTTCCTTTTTATTATTGATTAGTATTCCGGAATCTAAAGGAATACGTAGTGATTAATTAGAAAATAATCTAAATTGTGTCACGGTTAACTAGAATATTAGCTTTTAATTTTTATTTTTTATGTTAATCCTCACCCGAGGATATTTTTCCATTTATTTTCAGGGAGAATGGAAAAGAGAGGGAAAGACAGAAACATAAATGTGAGAGAAACATCGATTGGTTGCCCCCTGCACAAGCCCCAACCAGGGCTGGGGAGGAGCCTGTAACTAAGGTACATACCCTTGACTGGAATTGAACTTGGGACACTTTGGTCCTCAGGCCAACACTCTATCCACTGAGCAAAACTGGCTAGGGCTAGAATATTAGCTGTTAAATTGTATCTCAGAATTAAGTCAGAGCAAGTAGAAAGTCACTCACCATTAGATCTTAATTGTGACTGAAAGTCACACAATTGTTGACTTGGCTGTTGTAGGCTTTGCCGTATAAGATTCTGGTGTGCTCTCTCTGTTTGAAGTAGGTTTTTCAAAAGTCTGGTGTAAAAAAAAAAAGCCATCATTCCAGAGAGTTTAACACCATTCAATTCAACTCAAATATGTCTTTAACATTAGAGATTGAGAGAAAAAAGCACAATCCCAATGGTCAGTATAGTTTCTTCAAAGTTTTGTGAACAGGTTTCAGTCTGCACATGAGTAAATTCCTTGTTTCCTCCCCTTGAAAAAGACTCAGGGTGGGAGTATATTTTTTCTCAAAATATGCTATGAACCAAGATAACCCAGTGGAACTCAGCCAGAATGATCTGATAACTTTAACTTGTCTTGCCTAAGTCAGGTTAAGTTACTGAAACTAGTAGTCAAGCTCTTTCCTCCTCTCATGGGACTAAGCCGAGGAGATAGAAACCTGCTGTACAGGAACTGGTCTCACAGATGCTCATACAGACCAGTTATTCCCAGGCAATATCACTTTGGGCATTAGGTACCATCTTCCTGTTCTGCCCCCAAGACAGCTAAAGCACCTCCATACTGCAAGGACAGCCATGCTTTGTAGGGATTTAATGTTTATCAGGCATTTGCAATTGTGCTGGCTGCTATTTACTAATTCCTAATTCTACGGAGACTGGTAACATATCAATAGTGGAGAATAACCTTTGAACCTATATACAATATTCTTTTGAATTGGTAATTACAAACTTTATCAGAAAAACATTTTTTAAAGTGCTAAGTATTACTATCAACTTTCACATTTGTCGTATTTCAAAAACTTTAAAAATTTTGCCACCACCACGAGTTCATTAAGACTCCAGATCTTTCTAAAAAAAATGATTAGATCTGCCTAAGATTCAACGTTAGAGATCCGTAGGGGTATATACAGCTTCTGTTCCAAAATATGTACACCTGGCACCTAATCTCTCCCCATTAAATATTAACATTATGGATGATCATGGGGCAAAAAAAAGCATAATTTGGAACCAATACCAACTAATTTGCTATAGCTGTGGCTTATACTTTTCATAAATCCATTGATGATATGATTTCCCTAGTGCAAACAGGAATTTTATTAAGCACCTACTATGTGCCAGGAAGTGAATAAAACAGACCGGCTCTTGGGGGACCCTCATAACAGTGCCAGGGTCCCTTGGCTGGGAAGGCAGTCCATGAATGACTGCCGAGGGATCATGATAAACCACAGGGAAGAGATTCAAAGAGGTAAGGTCAAACTTCCTTGGGGTCAGGGTTATGGGCCAACTGCCATAGTAGAGTGCTAACCAGTCCCCAACTTGGCTACTTCTGTAGGGGTGGGCTGCAGATGTCCACTGCTGTACCCACAGGCCATGCCAGGGTTCCTATCTGGCAAAAAGAAAACTCCAAGATGCTGCTGCCTTTAATATGGCTAAGTGCTGTGCGGCCTGGATTTCCAATATTAAAGAAAGGGAGGCATTTAATCTGTCCATTGAAACGGAGAATACCCCTTTGCCCAGTTCCCTAGTGGTGAAGATTCTTTTCTGAGACCGGGGTGAAGCACTCAACAACTAAATCAACTGCCTTGCTGGTCCAGATCATTGTTCCACCCTTACTGACCTGCCAGTTTCCCGCCTCAGACTGTCTAGCTGGAGGCTCAGATCCTGCTGGAGCTCCTGGTACTGGGCTTCCTGGACAAGTGCTGAAGTGGGTTTGGTACCTCCATGTATTGCACATGCTTCACTTCCAGGTGAGTCTGCTGGGGGACCAT